ATCTGATCCCGCTGTCATTGTTTTCACTTGTCTGTGTTGCTGAGGAAGAAATCATGGTATGAGTAGAATGAGGAGTTGCTCTGCCATCTTCACGTTTTTGCTTGTGCTTGGGTAATCTTCATTTTCTTCTCAGGAATCCATATTGGGAAAGTGTAGTTTATTTAGGACAAGATTATATAAATGGTACTACTCTACTACAGGCATATGTAAGTTGGAATATTCTGGAAGAAACTAATATATGAGTGCTGCTGTTAGCCCTTCTTCCACATGAAATTCCCTTCTTCCTTGTCTTACCTTACTTACCACATTAGAGACATATGATCTTGATTTGGCAAGGGGGGGCAGGGTCAATCTGTAAAGCTTTATTTCCTTTCTAGTTTTACAGATAAAATAAACCTGAATAAAAGTCCTCATTCTTTCTTCTCACACTGCAAAGGGTTATCTTGTACTCCCTGCCCGAGAGTGCACATACCTCCCTACTTTGGAAACCACTGTTGTAGACCATTGGAAGTATGAATCTGGAATTTAGGAGAGAGGCCAGGGTTGGGGACATTGGCTTTGAAATGATCTTCATTGCTCTAGGAATGGATGAAATTACTAAGAGGAGAGATAATGGTCAAAGGAAAGAATGGAGAGCTGAGACCAAGCAGCTCAAAGAATTCTTACATGCATGGATATAAAAAAGGTGAAAGAGGTAGTACAGGAGTCAGAGAAAGAGGTAGTACAGGAGTCAGAGAAAGAGTGAAGCTGAAAAAAAAACAGGGTCCCAGAAATCAAGAAGGAGGGATGATCAGAGTTGTCAGTTGTTGAGTCAGGAGGGAATGAGGACAGAGGATGGACCAGGGTGTAGTTGATGATGAGGCCAAGATTAAACTTTGAAGGTCTTGATGGAGTCTTGCTTGAGTCAAAGCAATGAGTGCGGGCTAATTTTTTAAGGGAGGATCAATGGCCGGTAGAATATTTGTTATTGTTTCTGTTTGCTTACTTTGAAGTAGGAGGTATATGGAGAAGGGAAAAATGCCAGGACAGAGGTGGAGATTTTGGATAAAAAAAGGAAAGGGTCATTGGGAATGGATTCCTGAGGGAGGCAGTGGAGGTGAGATTGACTGTCTAGGTGGAAGAGGCAGCCACAGCAAAGAGGATACTTCCTTCTCAGGTTATTACAAAGAGGGTATGGTGTTTCTGGATGAAGGAAATATATTTTTTTATGCTCAACACTGAGGAGATACTTAGTAAAATACCACAAAGAAAACTGGCCACAAATCAATAGATAAAAGAGTGTGTTTTTTTTTTTAATCACAAGAATATGTTCTCTACTGAGAGCAAAACTAAGAGAAGTGAGTGTTAAGATGTCAGTCAAGATATTATCAAAGGAAATTATCAATCCTATTACTTTTTTGAGTTTTTCTTAAAAAGGACAAATTTGAATCTGGTTGAAATGGATTGATTATGGGCATGCCCTCATGTTTTTCCTGACAGGCTGGACCAGGTGACTTTGAAAATGCTATATTTCAGGCTCAAAGATTGCATGTATGTGAAGACATGCATTCTCTCAAGGAGTATGACCAGGCCAGACAAAATCAGAGGGGTGCTATTTTTTCATGAAAGTAAATGGATGCCAGGTAACTGGGGTTTTAATTCAAGCTTGATCATTAATTAGTTCTGTTTTTAGACAAGAATCTTAACTCCTGTAAGTCTTCACTTCTTTTCTTTTTTTCTTTTCTCCTTCCTTTACCTTCCCTTCCCTTCCCTTCCATTCCCTTCCCTTTCCTCTTTCTTTCTTTCTTTCTTTCTTTCTTTCTTTCTTTCTTTCTTTCTTTCTTTCTTTCTTTC